AGCTTAGCAAGCTCGAAGGCACTGTGCAAACAGCCCCCATTAGGCTACAGGACCTTTTGTGCCCTGAGTATTTCTGGTGAATGTGGTGAGAAATTCTCTGAGTGTTTATCATTGTTTATCTGTTCCTGCATTGAACTCAGAGATATCTGAAATGAAAGCTGCACAGAATGCTGGGAAATGCACTCTAGGACAGCATCATCACCCAGAGTTCCGTGGAATCTCGACTTTGACTTCAATTCCTCAGCACCTGTCACTGTCAGATCATTCTAATCAGCAGTTCTGACTCCTGATGGGTTCTGTTATATGTTTATTCCACAGTGCCTGCCCCAATACCTGCTGACACAGTGCCTTTGTTGTAAAAACTAGATTCCCATGAGATTATAGCTGACCTTGCTCAACTTACCAGTCAACCACAACCCAGAGAGGAATGTTTGCTAGGATAGCCTATCTCACATGATAATCTGTCTTGTCCAAGGAGATGATTCCAGGAACAAGAGACCAAAGACCTGCATGTAGACCCCTACAACTGCATCAACTTCCTCATTTCCAAGCCCCTCATCTGCCCCCATAAAGGTTCCCATCCAGCTTTTTCCTCTTGCAGAACCTCCATTCACTAGGGAAAGTATCTGACCTTCACTGTTTGAAATAAACCATTTGAAATAAATCATCTCATCTTTCGAGGTCAGACTCTGGTCCATTTCTGCTTTCTGTCTCTTTGCTCTGTGCTGCTAAATCTAACTTCCGTCCACATCTTTCCTCACTGGGCCAGCCATAAAACTAGGTCTCTACAATACAGCTCAGTGGTTAGTACAGATCACCACAAGTCTAGTCTTATGAGTATTGTCAACAATACTGTGCTTGACTTAGTCACTGGCTAGCCTTTCCTTTTTACACATTTCTCCCTCATGGCGTCTGCGTCAGTCTGCATCAGGGGCTTAATGACTTGAAAGGACACTGATCCCAGGATACCTTGTGTGGCATCGGTGACAGCTTAGAGAAATGACACCACATTGATGTAAATATGTATGCCACAGAGATTGCATCGGTGCCACCCCAGACAGAGGCTTGGCTAGAAAGCCATTGATTCAATCCTTAATTAGATAAGCTGCTTTTTACAGTTACTGAAGTGGGCCCTGTGATGGGTTCAACCTGTTGTAACATTTTATATACAGCCAGGCATTGCTGTACTAGCATTGTATACCAAACTTCTGCCCTTTCCCACGGATGAGGCCAATATCCAAGTGGAACCACTTACTTAGGTTGTTTTTCCCACAGCCCCCAGCTACAGACTTCTTGGCCTCAGGTGACTTCTCACCTGAAGGAACACTGGGGTAGTGGGCACATAGTCATTTGGCTTATTCTACAAAGGTGTTAGCTTGTTAAAAAGTTTTCTGTCTCAATCCCAAATGGCACCCCTTCCCATTATGTTATTGAACAAGTTAGGATATGAAAATCTGCAAATATCCCCAGAGCCTGAAGTACACCTATAATGTTGTGTTTATAGGCACTGGTGAATATAGGATTTTATTAATAACTTCATCAGGTGTGATGCCCGTCTTCAGAGATCACAGTATTTCCAGATATTTTACAGCCATGCCTGGCCCTTGCACCTTTCCTGGATGGATCTTACATCCTCATTCCTTTAGGTGCACCTGCATGTCTTTTATAACCTTGTGTCATCTGTGTGATGAAACCTTCTTACAGGGGGCAGACAGGATAGCAAAGCAAGGTCCTGGTTACCATCCTATGAATAGTGGGACTGAGAAGGTGGCTTCAGAGAGCACTCTGAATGTCTACTGTTGAACATTCCGGATAAATGCTTGGGATTAAGTCACAAGAGGACACCAAAGTGAGCCATTAGTAAGGTCCAATACAGCCTGAAACAATCCCATCACTTGTATTAATTGTTTTCTTAAAGGTTCAGTGTTTGGTACAGGAGTGTGGATGGGAAGTATTACCTTAGCTGGTTTTCCATAATCAACAGTCATTTTCTGTGTGCATTCCTGCTTGTCCTGAGATGCTTTAATGGGGGCACTGTGCATCTCTCCACCCTGATGGGGTTGTGTGTCTCTCTCAAACTGTCCAGACCCAGGTCCAAGGGCTGTCTGTCTTGCAGTTGACATTTGATTTGGCTGCTTGGGTCTGACAGGTTCTGAGCTGAAGTTACTGCTATTATCTTTACCTCAGCGACACCTGATTGCTGAGAGAGCTCTGGGTCTGGCAGGCTCTGGGAGGCACTGTAGTTGCATCCACTCCAGTTGTGTTTCCCACAGTCACATCTCAATGCTGAGGAAACCTCTCATCTTTCAGGTTCTGGGTGGGCACCACAGCTGTAGTCATCCCTGTTGAGTGTCTCAGCCACACCTGGCTTTTGTGGGAGCTCCAGACTGGATGAACCATTTCCACCCTTACCAAACTTTACGTAAGGAGAGAAATGCACACATCTTACTCTGCGGGCACGACTGCCCACCCTGGCAGGCTTAGACTTTCTTGTTTGACCTATGATATCATTAATGCCTTCTATGACTTGAGATTTAAAGTCTTCTGGAAGCTCACTAGCATAGTATATGACTTTCTGTAAAGTTGTTTTCTCAAGAAAGAGCACCAATTTGAATATATCTTACCAAATTTGTCAAGTGACCCAGATGGACGTCTTCTTTGGCTTTGAACTTCTTAAAGCCTCTTCTAGACTGTTTTATCACTTCACAAACTTGATTCATATCTACATAGCTTGGATCTGCTGTAACCTCTCCCACTTCATAAAGATCATATTCTGTAATGGAGTTTAATAAAGCCACAATAGCTGTATACCAGTTATCAAGGTCTCCACTGAACCAACTCTCTGTGAACACAGTTCTACCTGGTTCATGAAGTAGGGGTCAAACACAGCTCCTCTTATTCCCAATTCCATCAGCAGTTCCTGTGTTTAGGGTATTCTCTCATTCCTGGATGTTTATGGGGACTTCGGATGGAGGTGTCTAAGTGTTGCTAAAGGCCCTGACAACTTGGTCCATCAGGGAGGATTTCTCTCACATTGTTTCATGTTATGTAGCCTTTGCCTTAATGAGAGATGGATTATTATGTTACTCAGTTTCTGCCTCCACCGCAGTCAGCCTACATCCTCCATGTCTCATGGCTCTTGAGTCAGGCTGTGGAAGGCTCTTTTACTGCTTGTTTAAAAGTCTTCCCTAACTTGAGCAATTAAAGTGTCTCCTGGTTACAGTAGTTTCTTGTACCAGATCATTGTTAAGGCCCCCTCTGCCTTTTGGATCACAGAGTTCCTCCTCTTCTCTACTTGAGGTTGAACCAAGGGGTATCCTCTACCATGTTCTTCATCTCCTCACCCCCTAGTCATCAGTAATGGCATTTGTGTTTTATGCAAAACAATACTTTATCCTACAAAAAGCATTCATCTTTCCGCTAGTCTCATTGCATTGAACCGTTCTTCCAATGCTGAATAGAAGTGGCAAGGACAGACATTCTCAACATGTTCCTGATATTGGCAGGGGGGATGGCTTCAGACTCATCCCAATACGTCTGTACTGAATTGTACGTTTTGTGAAGTTGTCTTATCAATTTAAGAAAGTTCACCCCTATTCCTAACTTATGAAGAAATAATAGAAGTTAACACTGACTTTTGTCAAAGGATATCCTGCATATATTGAGATTATCTGATTTTTCATGTTAACAAAATGCCTTATATTGTTTTTCAAATTCTCTACCAACTTTAATGCCTCAATTTCTCTCTATAATAAAAGAAAACTATATCCAGGTGTGTGGAGGTGCAGTTCTGTATTCTGGCACTTGAGAGGCTAATGCACATAGTTAGTTTGAGGGAAGTCTAAACTATGAATCAAGTTACCCCCTCTCTATTTATATATATATGTATATACATGTATGTGTTTATGTGTGTGTGAAATTGCAATTCTAGTTATGATATCTAAGAGAAAACATAAATATTAAAATCAAGCAAGTGAAACATTTTTCATCCACACTATGAAGTCATTTTTGGGTATCGAAGAGCAACATATATGTGTGAGTGCACCTCAAATAATTATAAATGAAAACATAAAGAGAAGCAGCAGAAAGTGTATTACAGTCTGATTTCGGTAATAAAACTGGTAACTAGAGGAGGACCTATGTAAATATAGAAAGGAGTGTGACTGTCAGGATATACTTTAAACACTCAAAACTGGCCATTACAGGAGTTACAGAGGAAGAGGGATGGAGAGGGGAGGGTCAGTTTTTAATTGAATAATAATGAAAATTATTTTATCATCTTATGTAATAATAAAAATATTTCAATGCAGATTAAAAGTGAAATAACTATCTGTTCCTTAGGAAACTGATTATTTGGACTATACGCCACATGAAGCAACAGAAAAAAAAGCTAAATTTTCTTAAGAGTAAATGGAAGGATGGCTGATGGAAGCAGAGGCAGACTCCCACAGCTAAATACTGAGCTGAATTCAAGGAACCCAGTGACAGAGAGGGAGGACTGATGAGCAAAGGGGTTAAGACTGGGCTGGTTTAACCCCCAGAAACAGCTGACCTGACAAGGGTTAGCTCTTGAATCCCAGGCTGATGGCTGGGAATTCAGCATGGGACTGATCAAGACCCCCTGAATGTGGGTGTCAGTGAGGAGGCCTAGGCAATCTATTGGGCCTTGGGTAGTAGATCAGTATTTATCATACAAATGGACTTTGGATACCCATCTAACAATGAGAGATGCACTCTCAGCCTGGACTCTTGGGGGAGGGTCTAGGCCCTGCCCTGGATGAAATGACAGACTATGGACACCCCCATGGAGGGCCTCACCCTCCCTGGGGAAATGAGAGGGTATTGGAGGGGTTGGTGGGAGAGCGTGGGAGGAGGGGAGGGAAAGGGAGAGGGACCTGGGATTGACATGTGAAGCAACCTTGTTTCTAATTTAAATTTAAATTTAAAAATAAAAAAGAGTAAATGGAGGGAAGTGGAGGCCTCTTTCCATTTTAGGGATGTTGGGAGGACGTAGTCATGCGTCCCCAGAGCTTGGACACTTCCCTGGCTCCAAAAGGATTTTCTCATAATTTTAAATTAGGTTTACAGAGAAATAAACCTTTTTTTAATGAAAAGAGAGAGTCAGGAGTTCTCATTCCCTTCTCACTGCAGAACTGAAAATTGCACTATCAGCTGCCCTGCAGGCATGTCCATCCATTTATTGTTGGCTGTTCTCACCCAGTCCCTGCATTCCTTTCCCGTCCCTGCTTGGTTCTCCAGTCTTCTCTTTCTCCTGTAGGGCTTCAGCACATTTCCATGCAGAGGCCTCTTGGTGGATGCCACCGCTCTCCTCCCCCACCAGGGAGATTTTGCACAGGTGCACTCCGGTTTGTCACAGTGTGCTACTCTCAGAATACAGTGGTATACAGCAGCGTCTCTCAGGCTGACACGAGGCAGGATCAAGGTACTTGACTTTCTATCAGGGGGAATAGCCAGAAAGGCCATTCTATTGCTTGTATTTTGTTGTAGACCATGAATGACGTATTCTGGACCCTGAAGAGGAGCCTGTCGGTACCAATAAATATACTCGTTCCCACTGATCGTGGAGTGGTTACACGGCAAGTGGACAGTTTCTTCTTCAGTACTTCCCATTGAAGTTGGCTGTGTTGTTTTAGCATCACTCACAACACCTAAGGAGTTAAGAAACAACAGAGCGTCTTTGGACCATTCAATATCGGAGTGTCTAAATGTCAGGCTCACAGATGCGCCAGAACTCCTCTCCCCAGTTCTGCTCTTGAGAGCTGCATGTTTCCCAGGATCAGAGGACATCACTGGCATTTACTCCTTAGCGGTGCAGGATCACACATGCAAAGATAAGCTGCCCACGTCCCACTTTCCTTAAGCTTAATGAGCCTGGAGCTTCTTATATATAAGTCTGCGGGTGGGATATGCAGCTGTTCATGCTGACGATGCTCAGACTCGCTAAGGAGTCACACAGACACCAATTCTCTCCAGCAGTCTGGAAAAGCACAGAGGGAGGAGTAGAGGCAGCAGGTGCATCTTATCTGTCTTTAGGCACAAAAGCCATCCTTCTGTAGGCCCAGAACACTTACCCAAAGTCAAGAGAAGTGCGATTCCATGCACAAAGCTCATAATTAAGAGCAAGTGGATGTTCTAGGCTTCTGAGCTCAGAATCTGTGTCTGATGTGAGAATGGGAAACCTCAAGCCACAAACCAGCAGCTGCCAGCATTGCCCCTCCTCTTGAAGCCTTCTTTATGGGTGGCTCCAGTCAAGGGCCTCTAGCTTGGGTCTATCTCCACCTCCCAAGTCCAAATATAACGTTTAAAAGAAGATGAAAGTATTTTTCTTACATAATCCCCAATTGGAGTTTCGGTCTAGATCCTCTCAAACTCAACAAGGCTGTGTTTGAATGTACCAAAGCTTTCAAAGGAAACTGTACACCCTTGTTTATGGGAGGAGCAAAGCTCAGTGTTGATTGATAGTTTAGTGTTCTGTTGAGCTGGTAAGAATTGCTCTTTATTTCTGTTGTGCTCTCTGCTGTAAGGGTAAGAAAACAACTTCCTATTCATATTGTTAATATACAAGTCTTAGAGAAGAAATACATAATTTAACTTTCAGAGATGTCGACTTCTTTTTGTCATCAATATTATGATAAATTCATCAATATTATGATAAATCAAGTTAAAAATAAAACAATACTGTAGAAGAAGCTATTTGCAACACACTTGATAAAAGTAGTTTCTTAAGTGTGTAGCAGTGCTGTGATCAGTATGGCAGAAAAAAAGCCATGCTAAAAGCCAAGTTCTCTGGTGCTCCAGCCTCCTATATGAACTCCCGCACTAGAGTCTGTCTCCTGCTTCTTCTAACTGGAACTACTGGCTGCTTCTGGTGTTATAATAGACACATGTATGCCCATGACAATATTCTGTGAAGCCCACTCTAGCACATATTTCCTCATCTCTAGCCACACCTAGTGGTGATATGCCCTGAAGATAGCAAATAGAAAAGAAAAGAAATAAGGAGTAGGACAACAAGATTTGGAGAAGAAAATGAAATGATGCCATTTGACAAGAGAAGTAGAAATACTTTCTCTAGTTTATAAAAAATGATTACTAGAAATACAGGAAGGAGTAGAATTAAATCATTCCTTCCTCTCTACTACAAAAGCTTAACTTGTTGGTTCTCTGTAACAATAAATATTTGGTCATTTAAAATTGAACTCTGTATTAATTACCTGTCTTATTGATTGCACGTCAAACTGGAGAGTGAGCCCTTGGCTTTGCTGAATGTTGGGCAAATGCTCTACCCCTGAACTACATCTCCAATCCAAGTAGACTTCCTTTTTCTCATTTTCTTTTTTGAGAGTAAATCTCACTATATTGTTCAGGCTTTCTCAGATTCATGGTGTACATGAGCCCTACTTCTGCACCTACTTTTCTGAAGAGGTAGTACTGTTAGTGGTTGCCTGCAGGGATTGGGTGTCATTTTCTCCAGTAGTATAGCCAGTGGGGAACTATTTGGGAAGAAAAGTCCAGAGAGAAAGGAAAGGAGTTAATAGAGGGTAAGAGGGAAGGAGGTGAATCTACTCACAACCTATTTTATATATGTAGGAAATGGCCAAAAATAAAACAAAAAAGAAAGATGATCTATAATAAAAATTCATGACATCAAGGGATCAGAACCCTAGTTTCCAAGTGGCTGAGGCTGCCCATCCCTCCCCTAGTTCCTCCCCTTACTTTCCCTGGGTAATAAGTGGGCTCACCTGTGTATTGGAGCTTCCCCATGTATTTGAAGCTATGAATGTGTTCATGAAATACGTTTATAAAATGATAAGGTGACAAGGGGTAAAATTCTCTGTACACACCTGGCAACCTTGGCTCAGCCTGGAGGAAGCATAGATTGGCAGCCCCCTCTGGTGACTGTTCATGGAAACTCCTTTCCTGGGACTCAGGACCCAGGATGGAATTTGTCTCAGGATGTTTTTGATATGGTCTCTCCATCTACTGAAATGCTACAGTGGAAAGCTTGCTGTCACTGTCTTCTAAAAAAGACAGAATTGTTTGCAGGTTTGGGGAATCTGGAATTGTTCCTCTGATGTTGTTCCCAACAACCAAATTCCCTTTGTCCTCCTTCATTTCTTGCTTTTTTGGTTTTAAGGCAACTCCAAATCTATGCTCTATGTCACAAGACATAGGATTTGGCAGTCTAAGCACTGAGCAATTATCTCACATGTGGATGTGTTAGTTTAAAGCTTGTTTATCACAGGACCAGGGAAGTACATGTGGTGATTCTAAATAACTCCAAGTCAATGCTTCTACTTTTGAATAAAACAATCCAACACTAACAGTATATATATAAAGTTCAAACACCATACTGACTCTCATGCCTCATCATCCAAAATCATGGATTTAGAACATGGAGAGCCTGGTTGTGACAATGTAACCATGTATGACATAGCAGCATTGTAATCATACTTATTCAGTGTACTCCTACTGTGTGCCAGGTAGTCAGGTGATGGCAGTCATTAAATGTCAGTCTATATAACAAGAAAAATCCTGGGGTTGAGAACAGAGATCAGAAATGCCAGAGATCAGACCAACATTAGAACTTTCCATCTAGTGTTCGTTACTGTTGTGCTCAAATGGTGTCGAGAATCCAGACTGATTTAAAACTACAATAAATATTCTGGTATCATTTGTAATTGTCTGTCTGTTTTATGTGATAGCTCTATTGAGCTAGGAATCACATATTGCATAATTCATCCAGATAAGGTGTATAATTCCAGAGCTTTAGTGTGTTTACAGAAGTATGCAACCATCTCCATAATCAATCATAGAGTATTTTCACCGTCCCTCTAAAGCAGTGGTTCTCAACCTTCCTATTGCTGTGACCTTGTGGTGAACCCCAACCACAAAATTTTTATTGCTGCTTCATAACGAATTTTTCCAATGCTATGAAGTGTAATATAAGTATCTCTATTTTCTGACGGTCTTAGGTGACCCCTGTGAAAAGGACATTCAATTCCCCCCACACACAAAGGAATTGTGCGCCACAGGTTGAGAACCACTGCTCTAAGGGATCTTTACGCATGAGCAATCACAGATGAGTTTTGCCCACAATATTCCCATCTAGGCAACCACTTACCTGCTTTTAGTCTCTGCAGAATTTCTGAGAAGTTCATAGAAATGAAGTTACATGATAAGTGACCTGAGACAGCAGGCCTCTCTGCTAATTGTCTCAGGTGCTGATAATAAAAGACGTGGACATGTGTGGAAACAAGTAAACACAGACTTTATTAAGGAAATTTAAGGACAGGAGTGAAATTAGGGAAAAGTAAGAGAAACTCCCGAGAGCGGGAGGGGTGGTGAGAGGAAAACCTGTGGAACCAGGGTTCATCTGGGCATTTTTAAGACTCACTTCAGGGACTGGTCAAAGGCTGAGGTCATTACTATTGAGACAGGTTTTCCTCTGTGCCTATTGTGGGCTGAGACAGTTAGGGGCATCCACACTCCATTCCTCCTCTTCTGACCCACCTGGGAAGACAATGGAGAGGCTCTGTTCATGCGCTGCTCACCTAGTTAGGGAACAGTCACAGTTTGAAGTCCTCTGTATCTTGGATTTGCTTTGTCTGGTGTTGCCCTTTGCTAATTAGTGGTCCCTAGCCCTAGCCTGTATTGCAGGTTGTTAATCTTGCAAGTACAGCTGGTCTCCAGCCTTGGGAAGGAGGTCTCTAGTAGTCGCCAATTGATCTATGTTTCGTTTCTGGTCTATGTGACTTGCATGTAGTTTTTTTTCACAGATAATAAGATGTGGCTAGATTTTTCTTGGTCACCCCTGTAAAGTCTCTTGACTCTGCCATGGCCTGCAATAGTCTCCTTTCTGGAATAGGTGGACATGTTATAGAAGTCATTAGTCTGTTATAATTAGCTGCGCTAGAAGCAAGGATATGTGAAATGCAACATTCCTGTTTGCCTATGTTTCTAGGGTAGGAGCCAGGTGGCCTGCCCACACTGGCAGTTTCCCCAGAGTCCTGTCTTTCCTCTTACCTACTCAACTTGGCTGTCTTACATCCAGCTACATCCAGCTGTGAGCCCTTCATGTCCCTTTTGAGGTGCTTCAGACACCTCCACCGGAACATCAGTCTTCCTTTGACTCTGCATCACGTCCAGCTGCTCATTCTGTCTGATGGATTTTCACTTTGCATTTACATTTGGCTAGAACGAAGAACATTGCTCTGCAAATGTTTGAATGCCTCAAGGTCTACATGCATATGCTGTTCTATCAAATATTAAAGGAATAGGAAAATTGCTGAGTTGTCAAGGATTGAAACGGTAGTACTGTCTTTGTGTTATGTACTTCATGCACATAGTTTATTTTCCCACTTATTAGATATTTGATTCCTGTTAGTAATGCCACATATGTATATATTTGTACTTTGGCCTTGCAAATATTTTAAAACAATTGTTATGCATTTTGGCCTTTAATTTCATATTATAGATTTAAAAAATCATTTAAATTATCTTATTTACAATTAAACACCAATATTGAAATATTGCATTGCAGACTAATTTAGTGATTCAACACATGTATATATTATACTTGTTTCTTTATATTACATTATATCATTTGTGATGAAAAGTCTTTGTAGTCTTTCTTTTGTAGTCATTGCAATGTTTTGGACCTCAGTATATTGTTTAATGGAAGGATTGCTCTTTTACCTTACTTCAGTGAACTCAATGGCATTTCATTATGTCTTTGTGTGTAGTACATGACCTTTACTAGAATGTAGTGATTTTCTCCCATTCTCAATTCATTAGGAATTTATTTCTTTGTTATAAATAAATGATGATCACCAATTGAACACTTTTGGGTAACTATTGAGATGGCTGCACTATGATTTTATTAGTGGAGCTTATTTTATTTGTTTAGAGTTTGTTTTTACTTTTTGGTGTAAGTTTTGTATTAGTTGTTTTCATACAGTAAATATATTAGGCCACTATTTCCCTCTCCCCCAACTCCTTCAGGACCTTCCTCTCCACCTTCTTACACACACCATTTTTTCTCTTTAAAAAACAAACAAACATAAAACCCAACATACACTCATACATACATACATACACACATACATAATACACTTACACATACACACACAAAACACAAAATCAGAAAGCAAAGTATATAACCAAAAGGTCAATAAGACAAAAAATGCTTCAATACAGC